TGTCCTCCTCCTCCTCCTCCTCCTCCTCCTCCTCTCTCCTCCTCCTCCTCCTCCCCCTCCCCCTCCTCCCTCCTCCTCCTACCTCCTCCTATCCCCCTCCCCCCTCCTCCTCTCCTCCTCCTCCTCCTCCTCCCCCTCCCCTCATCCTCCTCCTCTCCTTCCTCCCCCTCCCCTACTCCTCCTCATCCTCCTCCTCATCCTCTCCCCCCCTCTCCCCTCCTCTCCTCATATCCCTTCCTCCTCCTCCTCCTTTCCTCCTCCTCCTCCTCCTCCTCTCCGCTCCTCCTCCTCCTTCTCTCATCCTCCTCCTCCGCCTCCCCTCCTCCTCCTCCTCCTCCTCCTCCTCCTCCTCCCCCCTCCTCCAGACCCCCGACGTCGTGACTTTTTCGTGACGTGGGCCCCCCAAGGCCTGGACCGCTCCCCGGGGCCTGACCTTTTACCCTGAGTTGTCCTCTGACGGTCCCTGAGCCAAGTCAGGGGCCGCCTGAAGCCCAGAAACAACTAAAAACCTCCCGTGGGAACTTTTTTCATGGCGCGAGGGCGTCTGGGTCCCATCCCCCCGTTCCTCCCTCGGTCTGCCTTGGGATCCAGGGTTGCGACAACACCCCGTCTTTCAAGACGGATCGATGTGAGGGTCCCAGGGACGAAAACCTGGCGAAAACGGACGGCTCGATGTAGTTCCTCAATCAGAGCTTGCCTCTGTAGGGGTCCTAGCGGATTCATAAGGTTAGATTAGCTGCGTCGCCGATTTCGGCGGCACGCCCGGGTGCCCGGGTGCCCGGGTGCCCCATAGCCCTCTAGCCCTGTAGCCCTATAGCCTTATAGCCTTGTAGCCCTACAGCCCTATAGACCTATAGCCCTACAGCCCAATAGCCCAATAGCCCTGTAGCCCTATAGACCTATAGCCCTATAGCCCTATAGCCCTATAGCCCCATAGCCCTTATAGCCCTTATAGCCCTATAGCCCTATAGCTCTAGATGCCTATATCCCTATAGCCCTATAGCCCTATCGCCCTATAGCCCTATAGACCTATAGTCCTATTGTCCTATAGCCCCATAGCCCTATCACCCTAAAAAGATTATGATTGGGGCTCTTCTCCGGAACCATTTGTGTTGTCTCATTGACAATATGACGACTACGATGCGCATTCCTAATATCAGTATGATTACCGATTTAGTGGTGTTGCTACGATGTTTGTTATTATTAGTGGCATGTGTAGGATTCGCATTGTTAGTGTCAGTGTTAATGTTTTCCTCTTCCTACGATCACGTTCACTAGCATTACTATTATGATTAGTATATATACTATCCTTCGTAGTATTACGAGTATTGCCAGTACTCGTCTTATGTCAATGTGTTACTGGTACTGACACATAGTAGTAGCCTCAGTGTCATGGATGTTCGACCTCTAAATATTGTTTCATACTTCTTACTACCAATAACTGTATGATCGGCATTGGCATGTGTATTGCTAACCGTATTACTAGTGATATTTCTAGTAATTGGCTGGCCTTACTCTTGTTATCATTAGTATTGATAAAATACGTACTGACGAAATGATTCGTATCAGCATCATGCTTCATCCATAATAGCATTATTGTGTTATCTGTGTTTCTTGGGGGAAAGGATCGGAGGACGACCACGAAGCGCCAAATGCCCCATGCTGCAGGCGCTGGTTGGAGCGGACAAATCCTGCCCCCCTGGACAGACAGAAGCCAGCAAACGGAGCTGCCCGTGACAACCACTGCCCACCGACAATGATCGCCCGGCTCGCAAAAAAGGAAATCTCAAGACATGGGGGTTCTCCCTCCCTTCGCTTCCTCCCTGCCCCGTCCCCGTCCTCTCCCCCTCCGCTCCCCTGGCTCCTGGATCGTGTCCGCGCTCTCCCGGAGGCGCTCCGGGAGCCTCTCGCACCAGGACCAGAGGAGCACGCGCCAGCCAATGTCCACCTGCACCGCCGCCACCGCCACCGCCGTCGGGGGGGACCCCGGATCACCGACGATACGATTTGTTTGGGCGTGGCTTAACGGGGGGGTCATAAATGGGGGGGTCAGAAACGGTCCCCTTTCGTGCCCCTTTCGGGCCCCTCCGGAGCCCCAGGGGGCTCGTTTAGGTACCGTTTGGGTACCTTTTCGGACCACGCTCGCCACCCCCCCATTTATGACCCCCCATTACGCAACGCCCAATTGTTCAATCTGGACGTTCTTCCAGGAGTTCGGCCTCTGGGGTCCGTTCCTGAATCCCAGACCCATCAAAAAGGAATCTGGTATAAAAAGACTGGCCCCGGAGAAAGGATCGCGATCTCTGGGGCCGCGTCTGGGGTCCGTTCCTGAATCCCAGACCCATCAAAAATGAATCTGGTATAAAAAACTGGCCCCGGAGAAAGGGGATCGCGATCTCCGGGGCCGCGCAGGGGGGGGGGGGGTCCCAGACACGGGTCCTGAAGAAGACAGGACGGACGACGCCGACAAATGGGAGACCCTCGTGGGGTCGAGCCACATCGGCACGGAGTTGGAATCGACTCGACTCGACTGTGCCTGAATGCACAAACGCACCCTGAAAGCATCGGACTGCATCGGATCGCCGAGAAATCCGCCGACCCCTGCGCCCTTGAAGGGGCCCTGGGACACACAAACAAATATACACAAATAACAGGATTCCCCATATTTTCCCATTTTGGGGGGATCTTCGTCCTCCCCCCCACTTCCCACAGTTTCCCATCTTTTCTGGGGAATCGCCGATTCATTGTGTATGTGTGTGTGTTTTTGCCCCTCCTGAGCCCTCCCCCGCAAGCCCCCTCCGCCAGGCCCCCCCGAGGGGGCGGATCGCACGGCGCCCCAAGTTTGCAGCCTTTCCACCTGGGGCCAGGCGGGCAGGCGCCCACGGGAGGGGGGGGCGCCAGGCTCACCCCAAGGTTCAACGCCCCTGCCACCCGGAGCCGGTGAGGAAACGGCTTCCAGGGACGGGGTGCCCGGCCCGCCCCACGACTGCTCGTCCCCCACCCGGGGCCGGGCGGGGGGAAGAGGGGAGGGGGCGCCGGAGGGGGCAGCCCACCGTCTCTGGATTCCCGTTTCCCCACCTGGGGCCGGGTGGCCAGTGACCCACGGGAGGGGGAGAGCGCCAGATTCACCCCAGGATTCGTCGGCTCCGCCGAGTGGGAAGCGCATGAGGACACCTTGGCGAGGAATCCTTAATAAGGAATTTGTTTTCAGGGAAGCTTTGATGAGGACTCCTGGATAAGGAATCCTTCGGAAGGAACCTTTAATACATATCCTTCGCAACGGGTAATTATTCAGGAATCCTGAATAAGGAATCCGTGGTGAGGAATATGTAGCACGGGGTCCCCATAACGGACTCATAATAAAGAGCCATTAATGAGGGATCTTTAGTAAGGAAGCCTTAAGAAGGATTCATTGATGCAGAATTGAAAATAACGACACCTGAATATGAAATCCTTCAAGAAATCATTCAAGAAATCCTGATACGGATTCCCTAGCAAAGAAACCTTGAACATGGAACCTGGAATGAGCAATACTTAACACGGAAAATGTTCTAAGGAGTCCTCGATAACGATTCCTTGGCAAAGAAGCCTTGGTAAGGAATCCATTATACGGAATCCTTGCTGCGAAGCCGTTCATAAGGAATCATTGGTAAGTAACCCTTGATGAGCAGCCCTGAATAAGAAATCCGTGCTCAGGCGCCCTTAGTACGGGGTCCTTCGTAAAGGATCACTATACAAGGGAAATTTGGTAAGGAATTCTTAATCAGGAACCCTGAATAGCGAATCCGTCATGAGGGATCCGAATTGGGAAATCAATAGCAAGGAATCCGTGGTAGAAAATCCGCAGCAAGGGATCCAAATCAGGAACTCATACCAAAAATCATGTGTGAAGAACCCTTAGTAGGGAATCCTTCGTAAGGACCCCATAATAAAGATTTATCCATCATAGTATGTACATATATATACATACATATACACGTGTCATATGTAAATAAATACTTGAACATGCGTGCGCGTCCATGTCTCAGTCTTAAACCGAATAACTGACTAAAAGCAAACCCGGCCAAAAAAAACCTTCGTAGGGAACCCTCACTACGGAATCCTTAGTAGAGATCCTTTCTCCGCGTCGCAATCTCTCCCCTCAAGCTCGCGCGCGCCACGGGAGCTGGGGGGGGCACCCCACAAGGTGCCTTGCAACACGTCGCGAGCGAGGAGTGCAGACATCATTATCCTAACCCAGCGCCGCACCGTCTACACGCGGCTCAACTCCGAACACATGACATAGCGCCCCTAAGAGGGAGTCCACTTCGAGAAGAGTTGGCAGTCCTCAGCCCGCCCATATCATGATGAGGACGAAGTGAGGAGGTGAATCTAACAGGCTGCCACGTCAGAGGCTTCCGCACTGAGGCGAGCAAGGTAGGGGCTCCACAGCTTCAAGCTCCCAGCACGAAGTAAGCAGCTGCCAGCCTGACAAATAGCTGCGGGGACTCGCTAGGCAACTCATGAACCTGTTTCGCGCTGCAGAGTCACGCGGGACAGAGTCAGAGGCCACGGCCACTCATCGCTGCACTGAAGACAAGGGAAGGGGATCGATGAAACAACAAACAACTCTTCAAATATGACCACGTTGCATTCCACGGCAAGCACAGCACCAGGCTGAAACGTGGATGCGCACGTGCACTGGAACTCACATAGCGCATGCTCTGAGCCCGCGATGGAGATAGCGACCGCCAGCCCGAACTGCCCCAGTAGGCGCAACGTAGCTGGCCACGTAAAGGCGAGAGAGAACTCGGGCATCCATAACTTCAGGCACTCTAGGGCGCTCACAGCAACCTGCCTGAGCACCTGCCCGCAGCCTGCCCCCTGGTGGAGGGGGAAACGGCCCCCGCCAATGATAATGCACAAGCGGCACGATGGCCCCATCGCACGCCTTCTTCCCTTTTCTTCTAATTGATTGCAATCGCGCCATCTGAGTCCCATCTGAAGCGGTCTCCAAGACGGGCCCACATGACGACGCGCGGGAAGGCGGGGGACACGACGCCGAGCCCGAGGTAGAAGTAGCAAACAAAGAAGGGCGCGCCGAACACAGGTGCTCCGACTAGCCACGAGGCCACGGCCGCCGCGAACACTGCGATCAGGGCCAGCGCCCAGACGCCGCGAGGAATCGCGCCAGTTCGGCCCAGGACGCGCATCACAAAATACCAAAGCGCGGGAAGTGCCAGCTTGCAAAGGCGCGCCAGGACCCAAGGACCGGCGACGCGACGCAGCAGCGCCCCCTCTGGCGGAGGGGCCCCTGATGACGCGCTGCCCAGCGCGATGGGCGAAGAGAAACACAGGCACCGTGAAGAGACTGCGCCGCGCGCCTGTCTCTCTCTGCTTCGACGTCTCCGCGCTCCTCACTCAGACCCCTCGGCCTTCGCCGACGCGCGCCCCCGCGCGCTCCCCCAGAGGCCCCAGCAGAGAGGGAACTTCTCGACGATGGCCTCGCGCGGGATCAGCAGCAGAGCCGCGGCCCCCCCAGCCGCGAGGCCCCTCCTCCAAGTTCGGCGGGGCGCGCCCGCACACCGCAGCGGAGGCGTCGGCTGCGAGCGTCGACGCAGCGCCCTCGCTGCCCCGCCCCTGCTCTCCCAGCAGCGGCGGCGAGGCCGCGGCCAGACAGACAGACAGCCCGCGGGCACGGCACGGCGCGCGCGCGCGCTGAGGTTGCAGCGGCGCAGCTCGGCCACGAGCAACCGTGGGACGCCGGGGGGGAGGCGCGGGAGAGCCGGCGCCCACGCCTCGCCGAGCCTGCCGCACGGGGCCCCCGTGCCCCGCTCCGGCACCGGGCCCTCTATAGCGCGAGAGCCCTCGGCAGGACGGGCGCCGAGCCTTTGATGTCGAGGCCCAGATGCATCAGCCGCGGCCCGGCGCGCTTCCGCGCCGCCCGCAGAATCCGGGCCCCCGTGGCGTCGCCCAGCTGGTTACGACTCATGCCGAGGTTCTCCAGCGCCGGGAGCTGGCCTGCCTCCAAGGCCCGCGCGACGCCTTCGGCCCCCGCGGCGCCGACGCCGTGCTCGAAGCTCAAGGTGCTTCAGCTTCGAGGAGCGGCCCGCCTCCAACGCCAACTGGGCCACCCCGGCGTCGCCCAGCACGTCGCCCCTGTCGACGCCAAATGAACCCAAAAAGAATTGCCGCAACGCGGGGGAAGGCGCCCGCCGCCGCGGCCAACACCAGCCGGCCCCCGAACTCGGCGCTGAGCTCGTTGTTGTGGAGGTTCAGGCGATCGACCCGCCGGAAGCAGCCTGTCTCTCCAAGATAGCAAAGAACATCTCGCGCGCCCCGACGCAGCGGAGCTTGTCGTTCAGCCAAAGCGCCGCGTCTGGACCCGAGCCGCTCTGCCGCGCATACTTCGCGAACCCATCGACATCAGTCACAACAGGTATGTTTCGGGAGGTGCAGTGCGCGCGATGGAAATGTCGTAAGACGGGTCCGTGGCCGTGCGCGTGAAAGCCGGCGGTCGGTGCTGCAGACGCCTGAGCCAAAATGGCCACGGAAGGAACCCTTAGTTGGGAACCCTCAGACAAAAAAACCTGAATGAAGAACCCATAATACAGAATGCTGTCTAAAAAATCCTCGATAACGTAATAGGGAAACGATTACGGAATCCATGCTGACGAGCCTTTCATAAGGAATCATTGATCAGGAATCCTGAATGAAGAACTCTGAATGGCAAATCCTCATTAAGGAATATGATGTAAGGAATCCTTGAACAGAAATCCTGAATAAGATGTGTTGTTGTTGTACTATTGTTGGTGTTGTTGAACTCTCACTACTGAAGAACAATTATTGTTGATCCCCCCTCTGGTGACCATTGTGTTTTTGTCAATTGAAGTGCTTCCCCCAGGGCTCGCACCCTGTTTTTTCTTATCAGGGAATGTCACAGTGCTTAAACTGGGCCCCTGGCCCCCGGCTTACAACAACAACAACAGCAAAAACAAAAACAACGGCTCCCGCCTGATACTTCCTCATAATACATTCCCAGATTGCGCTTTCGCGCAGGACTTCGTCATAATTCATGTACGCATCGCGCTCTCGCGTGGAACTTCCTTGCACTGTGTTCAGACGCCGCGCCCTCGGCGCTCAGGAATCACGCTCTCGCTTTGGGTCTGCCCACCCGATCTGCCCGTTGGTTCTGCCATGCGTTTTCTGCTCGTAGACCCCCTCCTGCTAATTTCTCTCGTGCTCCATTCTTCTCCCTCCCCCTCCCACCCATCCTCTCCTCCCTTGTTTAGGGGCTGCACTAAATGCACGTGGCAGGTAAGGAAGAAATACCCCAAAGGGGGCACGATCGAAGACGACAAGGGCGGGTACTGAGGGTTTGGGATATACGTATATAAATTGGTACGTGAGCGAATAGGAGCGAACAGTCTTAAAATGCTTGTTGCTGTCGTTGATGATGTTGTTGTTGCTTGTGTTGTTGTTGCTGTTGTTGTTGATGTTATCGGAATTGATGATGTTGCTGTTGTGGCTGTTGGTGTTGTCACCATTGTTGTTGTTGAAGTTGCTGTTGTTGTTGCTGTGTTGTTATTGCTGTTGTTGGTTGGTGTCGTTGTAAACCACGGGCCTACAACCCAGTGTGGTGACATTACACTTTCCCTGACAAACAACAGAGTGCGAGCCCCGGGAGGGGCACCTCAGTTGAAAAATCAAATTGTCACCGGAGGGGGGATCAACAGAAAGTACACTTCCGAACTGAGAATTTAACAGCAACAGCAACAACATCAGTAATCATCTTCAGACTGTTCGCTCTTACCTGCTCGCGTGCCATTCCACACGTATATCCCAAACCCTCGATACCCGCCCTCTTCGCCTTCGATCGTACCCCGCTGGGGGTGTATCTTCCTGACCTGCCGCGTGAATTTGGTGCAGTCGGGAAGGCGGGCCCAAGCGCAGTTCGAATTGCGAGGAAGTCACACGCGAGAGCGCGAGTCCTGCATACATTGTCAGGAAGTCCCACGCGAGGGCGCGATTTCGAAATAAATTGCGGGGAAATATCAGGCGGGAGCCGCTGTTGTTGTAAACCAGGGGATAGGCGCACACTTTGATGATCTCACACTTCCCCTGATTAAGAACAGGGTGTGAGCCCTGGGAGAATCACTTTAGTTACAAAAAATACAAACTGTTCACTGGGCAGGGGGATCAACAAGAATTAGACTTTAGAAATGTAACTTCAAAGACAACCACGACGACGACGACGACGACGATGACGACGACGACGACGACGACGACGACGACGACGACGACGACGACGACGACGACGATGACGACAAACACGACGACGACGACGACGACGACGACGACGACAACAATGATGACGACGACGACGACGACGACGACGACGACCCTGGACAGCCTCCTGAGGTCCTCGAAAGTCTCTGAGACCACCAAAGGCCCTGGCTGGCCCCCAGGGGCCCCCGGGAGGCCCATGGGGGCCCCCGGGGGCCCAGAGAGGACCAGGCGAGGTCCCGAAGAGGCCCGAAGGCCTGGACCCTCGAACCCCCATCGTCGAACCTCGATCGTCGAACATCGATCCTCGATCCTCGAGCCTCGATCGTCGAACCTCGATCGTCGAGCCTCGATCCCGAATCCTCGATCCTCGATCGCCGAACCTCGGTCGTCAAACCTCGATCCTCGATCCGCGAACCCCCAGCCGTCGGACCCCTGGTCGTCGAGCCTCGATGCTGCGGGGCGGCGGCGGCAGCGGCGCGCTCGGGAGCCTGCTCCAAGAAGACCATACCGCAGCGGGACACCGTCGCTGGCGACGCTACCGCCAGGTCCTCGACCTTGCGGTCGCCGTCGATCGTCGCCGCCGTCGATCGTCGTCGCCGTCGCCATCGTCGCCGTCGGCCTCTCTGGAAGGGCCCTGAAAGGGCCCCCAGCATGCCTTGCATGGGTGTAAGAGGGTTTCGCACGAGGCTCGCGCCGCGATACGCGCGTCCGCCATGGACACCGCGCTGTGGTCACCGAGGCAATGTGGAAACGCGCCACTACGAAAAGGGAGGGTCGAATGCTCTGCGGCGTCGACCTACCAACATGAATCCTAGTGTATACCGTGCGCTCGTTATGGATGCGTGATTCGATGTCGGATTTGTGCGCTGCGGGCTAGCACTGGGTGCGATGTCACGGTCGCGCTACTTGGAGCCATCACCGATGCGCCATGGTGAGCGCGGCGCAGCCCACGTGACGCTCCATCGATCGTGGCGAGAGCCCGCCGTGAGCATCTCGGGGTCCGGGGGATCGCCCCGAGACAGCAGGCACAGCATCTGGGCACCCGAAGGGGGAGCCGCCAGGGGATGTCGCCCTTGCCCATTCGCGGTCAGATCGCAGACATGTCTGAAGCAGGAACGCTGGTCTTGGTACCCCATTGCGCCTCTCCGCACAAAGCCCCGTGATCGCCACCGTGCAGCAAGCCACCCGCTCGGGGCACTCCCCGGGGGGAACCGCCAGGGGAGCGTTGCACTGGCCCGTTCGCGGCCGGATCCTGGGGACGCCTCACGCGTCATGTGTCTCCCACCGTACGTAAATAGGCAACCGAACTCTATACACCGCCGCATTTTTCCGGCCCTGCACTGAAATTTGCACAGGAAAGCGGATCTTGGTGTTTACGGGATCCTGGTGTATACATGTTTCGTTGTTTCTTCGGGAAACGAAGAAAAAAGTATACACCACACCACCCCGACGTAGTCCCCGACCCTCGAAAAGTCCTTGGATGGAGAAGCAGTCCGCCACTGGTAATGTATATGTTCCAATTTCCGAATAAGGACTTTGGCCGAGACCGGGCAATGCTGCTTCTCTTCCTCCTCCTCCTCCTCCTCCTCCTCCTCCTTCTCCCCCTCCCCCTCCTCCGCCTCCTCCTCCTCCTCCTCCTCCTCATGTGCCTCCCATCGCACGTAAGGACCACATCCAAAAAAATACGTTCGAGCACCCGGAAAAGTATCGAGACCCTGTCGAGCGAGGATGGCCTCCCAGGGAGACCGTGTCGAGCGAAGACACCTCCAGCTCGGGTGGCCCTCTTGGTGCACGAAGCTTTCTTTTTGGCGATCGAGGCTAAAGCTAAGTCGGGCGTGTCCCCCTACAGGGGAATTCGCGACGAAACAAAAAAATGCCCCAAAAATACCCCCCAAAATGGCCAGAAAATATAAATATTGGAAAAATAGTCCCCCGGCTCTTTTTTGACTATTTTTGAATTTTCCCCCTGTAGAGGGACAGGCCCGACTTCAGGCTGAAGCAGGCTGGAACATCACAACTCCAGCGAAACAAACGCTGGCTTGGGCAGCCCCGACGCCTCCCCCGCCAGAGCCCCAAGACCATCCCGGTGTGGCAGGTATCGGGGGCGTCCAAGAAGGGGGCGTCCAAAAGGGGGGGGGGGGGGCGCAAATCATGGCCCGCGACACGTGCGCGGCCCAAGGGGGGG